AGATTAATGCATTGTCTTTTCTATTTATCTATCTATTTATCTATTTATTTATCTATCCACCTAGCTATCTATCTATCAGTCAATCTATCTATCTAACTATCTATCTATCTTTCTATCTAGCTCCTGGGGAAGGAATATTGCAATAAATCAAATAAATTCAATAAAATGAGATTAATGCATTATCTTATCTATGTGTCTATCCATCTATCTATCTATTTATCTATCTATCTATCTATCTATTCATCTATTCATCTTATTATCTATTTATCTATCTATCTTTTTATCTATCTATCTATCGTAAGTCACCCTCACGTTCTCCAGAGTGTCCCTCTCCCCTCCCCCACTCCCTCCCTTCCCTTCCTCTCTTCCTTTCCCCCCTTACCTTCTCCCTCCCACTCCCTCCCTCCCATTCCCTCTCCCTCCCCCCCCCCCCCTTACCTTATTCAGCCCTTCGTAAGTCACCCTCGCGTTTTCCAGCGTGTCCCTGGCCCGCGCGATCTTGTACTCGTCGCGTCGCGTGGCCCTCTCTCCCTCCCTCCCTCCCTCCCTCCCTTCCCCTCCCCCCCCCTTTCCATCCTCCCTCCCCCTCCCCCTCTCCCTCCCCTCCCCCCCCTTACCTTATTCAGCCCTTCGTAAGTCACCCTCGCGTTTTCCAGCGTGTCCCGGGCCCGCGCGATCTTGTACTCGTCGCGGCGCGTGGCCCTCTCTCCCTCCCTCCCTCCCTTCCTACCTTCCCTCCCTCCCTCCCTCCTTCCCTCCCCCTCCCTCTCCCCTCCCCCCCTTACCTTGTTCAGCCCTTCGTAAGTCACCCTCGCGTTTTCCAGCGTGTCCCTGGCCCGCGCGATCTTGTACTCGTCGCGTCGCGTGGCCCTCTCTCCCTCCCTCCCTCCCTTTCCATCCTCCCTTTCCATCCTCCCTTTCCATCCTCCCTTCCCTCCCTTCCCTCTCCCTCTCCCCCCCCTTACCTTTTTCAGCCCTTCGTAAGTCACCCTCGCGTTTTCCCAGCGTGTCCCTGGGCCCGCGCGATCTTGTACTCGTCGCGTCGCGTGGCCCTCTCTCCCTCCCTCCCTTCCCCTCCCTCCCCCCCTTTCCATCCTCCCTCCCTCTCCCCCTCTCCCCCCCCCCTTACCTTGTTCAGCCCTTCGTAAGTCACCCTCGCGTTTTCCAGCGTGTCCCGGGCCCGCGCGATCTTGTACTCGTCGCGGCGCGTGGCCCTCTCTCTCCCTCCCTCCCTCCCTTCCTACCTTCCCTCCCTCCCTCCCTCCTTCCCTCCCCCTCCCTCTCCCCTCCCCCCCTTACCTTGTTCAGAGCCCTTCGTAAGTCACCCTCGCGTTTTCCAGCGTGTCCCTGGCCCGCGCGATCTTGTACTCGTCGCGTCGCGTGGCCCTCTCTCCCTCCCTCCCTCCCTTTCCATCCTCCCTTTCCATCCTCCCTTTCCATCCTCCCTTCCCTCCCTTCCCTCTCCCTCTCCCCCCCTTACCTTGCTTCAGCCCTTCGTAAGTCACCCTCGCGTTTTCCCAGCGTGTCCCGGGCCCGCGCGATCTTTGTACTCGTCGCGGCGCGTGGCCCTCTCTCCCTCCCTCCCCATCCTTCCTACCTTCCCTCCTCCCTCCCCTCCTTCCCTCCCCTCCCTCTCCCCTCCCCCCCTTACCTTGTTCAGGCCCTTCGTAAGTCACCCTCGCGTTTTTCCAGCGTGTCCCTGGCCCGGCGCGATCTTGTACTCGTCGCGTCGCGTGGCCCTCTCTCCCTCCCTCCCCTCCCTTTCCATCCTCCCTTTCCATTCCTCCCTTTCCATCCTCCCTTCCCCTCCCTTCCCTCTCCCTCTCCCCCCCCTTACCTTTTTCAGCCCTTCGTAAGTCACCCCTCGCGTTTTCCAGCGTGTCCCTGGCCCGCGCGATCTTGTACTCGTCGCGTCGCGTGGCCCTCTCTCCCTCCCTCCCTTCCCCTCCCTCCCCCCCCTTTCCATCCTCCCTCCCTCTCCCCCTCTCCCCCCCCCCCCCTTACCTTGTTCAGCCCTTCGTAAGTCACCCTCGCGTTTTCCAGCGTGTCCCTGGCCCGCGCGATCTTGTACTCGTCGCGTCGCGTGGCCCTCTCTCCCTCCCTCCCTCCCTCCCTCCCTCCCTCTCCCTCGCCCTTTTCCATCCTCCCTCCCCCTCCCCCTCTCCCTCCCCTCCCCCCCCTTACCTTATTCAGCCCT